ACCCAACCCGATATTTCGTCCTTGTTACGTCGTAGTGCAGTGCCGAAACCAAACCTTCCTAAAGACGAATTTACAGCGTTGATTAACTTACGGAACAGACCAGAGCTAACGATTCTCCGCGCGGATAAAGGTCATGCTACGGTAATAATGGACACGTCAGAGTATAATTTTAAAAGACTACAGCTTTTATCGGACGAAAGTACATAAAAAAAGGTCGAAACAGACCCCACAACTAACACGCTTAAAGCAACTGGCGATTTAATTAAGAAATACTACGAAAAATTAAATCTCGACATGAATTCGCTGATACCATCATGTACCAAACCACCAAGGTTATGGGTTACCGAAGATACACAAACCAAACGCTCCTCTACGTCCTATAGTGAGCCAGATCGATTCACCAACTTATAAGCTGGCACAACACTTGGCAAAAATATTGTCGCACCATTGAAAGGACATACCAGAGCACACACAAAGGATTCATACCATTTTGTTAGTGAGATAAAAGATCTACATCTCGCTGACAATGAAACTATGGTCAGTTTTGATGTTCAGTCACTATTCACATGCCTACCTAATGAAGACTGCATCTCAATTGTGACTAGGAAGCTAGAAGATAATAACATGCCTGCTGAATATGCAGTATTACTCAAACACTGCCTCACATCTGGCTATCTATTGTGGAAGGAAGAGTTCTACAAGCAAGTAGATGGTGTGGCGATGGGCTCACCTGTATCTCCCATAGTCGCCGACATATTCATGGAGGACTTCGAGGAGAAAGCCCTTCTTACTGCCCCTATAAATCCAAGATTCTACAAGCGGTACGTAGACGACACTTTCACAATTTTGCCATCTGACAAAGTAACTGAATTTTTAGACCACCTTAACTCTATAAACTCTAAAATACAATTCACAATGAAGTTAGAGGCAAATAATTCTTTAGCTTTCCTAGATGTTTTAGTCATTCGAAATCCTAATAACACTATTTGTCACACTGTGTATATGAAAAAGACCCATACCAACCGATATTTAAATGGTGAATCTCCATCATCCTTCACAGTTAGCTACCGTGGGTAAATCTTTGTTTCAGAGAGCACGAGGGATCTGTGACAGAAAACATCTGGCCGCCGAACTTCAGCACGTCAAGCAAGTATTGCAAGACAACAAGCTTCGGGTCCCGCGCCTACGTCACAGTGACCGAGTGAAGCCGGGCACAGTCGAGCGTGTACCTGTTGTACTACCATATGTCAGAGGAGTCACAGACAAGGTTGTCTACATCTTGAAGCGAGCTTCCATTAAAACATACTACAAGTCGCCGAAGAAGATTAGTCAATTTTTACCATCCGTCAAGTGTAATATCCCTTTACAAGATGCAGGAGTGTACAAGTTAGATTGTGAATGTGGTCTCTTTTATATAGGTCAAACAAAAAGATCGATAAAAACCCGCGTGAAAGAGCATATAGCTGACGTGAAGCACCGACGCTCCGGGAAGTCTGGAGTCTGTGAACATGTTCAAGGTCATCCCCACCATTACATCAGATTTGATAAACCACAAGTCCTCGCAAAAGAACACCGATTCCTACCAAGGATGATACGTGAGGCTATTGAAATTAAAAAACATCCTAATTTCAATAGAGAAGATGGATGGGTGCTGCCATCTGCTTGGGATCCTATAATTAACAAAATTAAACCCAAACCGAAGCATACCACTGCAAGACTTCGAGGTACTGTAAGCTCGTTTTGCGTAAATCGGATCGAAAAATTTATATTAAAAAACTGATGGTAGCCCGGCTAACTATTACATTGGGACGTCAAACATCTCAGTCCCGCCCGTGACCATGGGTGCTGTAAAGCACCCGAAACGTCGGGAATTAAAAATAAGTAAAATCAGTTAAATAAACGCGATAAAATCCGTAAATTTAGTTTTATTCAACATCCAGATCAGTTTTCGTTATCTGGTAGATAATAATAATATAGGTATATAAAGTTTATTTATTAAGGTATCAACCCACATTTGTTAAGTACTTTTTGCGTAAAAGACAATGAATTAGAGTATTATACATATACAAAATTACAAATTAAACTCTATTATGAGTTAAAATATAGTACATTAAAACATTTTTTTCATCACCTATAGCGTCTGATGCATACCCTGCCAGTGTTTATAGAATATATTGTCAGGAGACACCTGAGCAACGACCTTAACTAATTCATTTGTTGAGTTACGTACAGTTTCCCAGAAACTGGCCGTTCTACAACGTAACACTGCGTAAAAGTCTGGGACGGCAGCCTCTGCGAACATTGTGGACGCACTGCAGTACCGTGGATGTTTCAAAAAAATACGAAAAACATCGTTATACTGTACTCTGAAGGTGTTATAGGATTTTTTGGTGTAATTTATCCAGAGTTGTCCGGTGCAAAAGCTAAGACAATAGGCTTTGAACAGAGTAATCTTAACATCCTCAGAACATGAGGCAAAGCGACGCGCTAGCATGTTACAACGTATAGCTAGAGCTCTACGTTCACGCTCAATATCCAAGTCGTCACTCAGGTTCTCCGACAACATATGACCCAAGTACCTGAAATTCTTCACAGTCCGTACCTGCACACCATTTATGCTTACTGGCGGTACTCTCCCCGGACCCTTTCCAGCACGAAAGACTAGCATTTCAGTCTTAGACTCATTATATTTTAATCCATGCTGACGAGCATAATTTTCACAGATGAATATAAGCTTTCTAAGACCGTTGATCGATGGGCTAAGGAGCACCATATCGTCTGCGTAGCTAAGATTGTTAAACGCTATACCATTAATGTGACATCCAATTTTGGTACTCCTAAGCTCCTCGATCAAGCCGTTAACATAAAGAATGAAAAGGTCAGCCCTCCCTGACGTACCCCACATTCTAGTTTATAGCCACTAGAAGTTGTGTCGTCCCACCTAACTTTATTTGTCTGGTTCTCGTACCAGTATCTCAGCAAACCCAGAACAGTGCCAGGTACATTGGACTCATGCATTTTCCTCCATAATATATTATACTTAACAAGGTCAAATGCACGACTCAAGTCCAGAAAGCAGGCGTAAACAGATGTACTACGTCTTAAAATAGTTTACAACGTGCTTAACGGACAGTATTGCAGAGTCGGCAGAAACACCGGCACGAAAACCAAACTGAGCATCACTTATCCTAATATTTTTCACAAGTTCGGGCTGTAGAAGTTTGTCAAGCACTTTACCAACTATTGTGCCCAGAGAGATAGGGCGGTAATTGGAGATATTAGAGAGGTCACCGGTTTTGTTCTTAACGACTGGTACAACAATCGTCTGTAACATTTTATCAGGCAGATATGTATGTTTAATACATAGGTTAAAAAGTAATGCTAGAGAATCAAATAGTTTATCACTGGCATAGAGAAGGTGCTCAACACTCAAGCCATCGTGGCCCGGAGACTTTCCTCGCTTCATATTATGAACTACTTTTATGATATCACTAGCACACAAGGACAAAACCTCAGCGTTGGAGATTGTCGACTGAGCATGGGGAATACTCTCCACGTGCATTGGTTTAATTGAAAAATGATTAGCAAACATGTTAGCTATGTCCTTTTTGTCATTAATCTCATTCACGCTAACTGGCAAGCTACTACGTATGTTGCAGGCTTTTGTTGCTTTCCAAAATTTTGAAAATTTTTTTATTTGCTCTATGAGTGGCAAGTATGTTCATTCTTATCATCTCTTGATTATTTTGGCAACATTTTAATTTATTTTTAAAAGCCCTACGCGTCGTTGTCATATCGTCATAAATTTTTCCGTTAAACGGTTTTCCAGCATTTATCCATTCTTTAAAATATAATCGTGCTTTTGCGTGTAATTCTCGCACATGGTAGTTCCAGCCAGTGAACTGCCTCTTACCTTTCCGGCGACCTTTCGGAGCATCAGACGCATTTAATTTACAATTCATAGATGCACATTGTAAAGTATTAATAATATAATTATATAACATATCAATAAAATTTTGAGTACATTTTTTATCACAACTAAAATTATCACAATTTTTACAGGGACTAGATTTCGGTAAGTGACTTAATTTCCTATAACAAATTAATGAATATTTTTTAATATCGTTTTATGACCCCGTCTAAATTTATTAACTGGAATACAATCATTATTTGTATAGGTAAAATTTTTATTACATACTAAATTTATATCACAGTCAATATAAAGGGAAAAATGATCAGACCAACTTACACTGTTGTCCACACTTACATTTAAAATATTTTTTTTGCTGCTGAAGTAGCCAGGCAGTGATCTAACCATTTAACCGTCCCATAAGCTTCGCTTAAAAAAGTGAATGTTTTTGAGTTGATCCCTAATATGTCTATATCAGTACAGTTCCAAGTTTGTTCTGCACAATAAGCTAACATTTCAGACCCGAATCTAGCCGTAGGGTGTGCATTATAATCCCCAACCATTAACACAGCCTCGACCCCACATTCATCAATTATAGCGCTCATGTTGCTCAAAGTGTTTGTGAACTCAGTCAAATTATCTTCAATGTCTACAGGCATATACACGTTTATGAACAATATCTGGCGGTTATGAAATGATAGTTTTATAGCTGCTAGCCTATTACTATTGCATTCTACAACGGATACCACAACATCAGATTCAAAAAGAGATTTGCGCCACAATATGGTCAGACCTCCATAAGGCCGACCACGTAATATGCCTTTCGAAGAATCCACAGATGACTTTGAGAAGGAAGCAAAGCTATCGTCTATTTTATTAGCAAATTTAAGATCAACGTAAGAGCCACGTCTCCTGTAAAGCTATTATATCTACTTCTTTACATAACAACCTAATGTGGTCGATGGATCGTTTAATGCTTTTACAATTAAACGATGCCATACGAATTATCTGTAAAATATGAATATCCATAACTTATTTATTTACTTATCTATTAATTTGACTTAATTTCGTTATAGGGGCGTGGTTTATATTATTTAAAGCGCCTAAATACCAAACCTTTCGGCCAGAAATCGGGGCTTAGAAAAATATTCGCTTTGGACATTGGTATAACTATTTTAAAAGAATTAAAAGTTGTCTCACGATATTGTTTTAGCAGTTCTATAGTAACACAATTTTCACCCTTATCTTTTATGTAGTCCATTAAAGAACTTTCGGAAACTTCCTTACGTACCCGTGACACGTATATAGTACATGTTGATTCCACAACTTTTAATTTCGTACACGTTTCAGATGAACCACGCATATTTTTCGATCTGTTGTGCTTTTTATGCACAACAGTTGTAAATCCATCCTCATTTATATCCTTAAGGATTCTATTACCGGAATCTAATTTAAAACGCTGCGAAGTGCTGGTCGCTACAAGAATATCACGGTATTGAGGCTCAAATAATGACTTAACCGTTTGATTGTTACGCTGCGAAACCGGTTTAGCAACTTTAGTACACGCGTTTTCCCTCTCCGTCGCTTGATGCATATGCTGTATGCTTAAGTCATGAGCGGTCTGCGATTGCTGCGGATCTTGCTTGCGTCCACTGTTTTGTTTTTTGTTGGCCTGCAATTTAGTAGTTTGGTGACTAATTTTACTCTCCATCTCATTTAATTCCGATCTTGTCACGTTGTCACTCCTTAAAGCTTGTAATTCCGCTTTAATATAATTCATATCATTCAATAACTTGACAACGTCTATATCAGTTCTTTGAGCTTTGGCAAATTCCGTCCTCATGCAAGACACGTCCTTTAATAATCTGGTGACATCGACGTTGTCCAAAGTAACAGGAGGGAGGCGTATTAAATCCTTTGCGACGAAAATCGGCTGTACATCAGGATCGACTTCCTTGAGTAGCTTGATAACGTTTTATTTTCTTTTGTCATCTCCTTTTCTGTGAATGTTTCTTTATCCACAAGATGTATATAATACATTTTTACCGTCTTCCACTTCCTCGTCCGTGAAATTAGCAATACGTATTTGTAAAATGATTTGTTCGTCCAAAATGTCTATTTTATTTTGTATAAACGTTAGAAACTCGTTTATCACTACTTTTTCCGCCATCGCTTAAGTCTCTTGGACCACACGTCATACTACGATTATTCACGATACTATAGTATGTACTTACGCTTAATGCAATGCAAACAATACATCGCCGATCGCCGCAGCAGCACGGAACCGACTCCAAGACTTTGAGTAGAGACTAGCTCAAAGTGCGAATGCCAGGAGAGCCGCTACAACTACAACACCCAGGTATTTTGTTTTTTCAATTCTGTTCAGGACCATCACAATTAGTGGGTTCAGTATCAGGATTGCAGGAGTGGATATATACATTGAAGTCAGTGTCAGGTTTTGAATACTGTAACAGATGTAGTTAGTTTTGACTGTATTCAGGATCAAGAGATTATTTTTTAGTCAGTTGCTTATCAAATGCAGGCCAGATTCAGCATTTTTTTCAAATCAGCCCAGTTTTTCTCAGTAAAAACGATTGCTGTATCATCGGCGTAGGGAAAGATGTGCGCATGGTCAATTTTTAGATTACAGAGATCATTAATGTATATAATAAAAAGCGTAGGTCCTCACACACTTCCTTGTGGTACTCCATAAGATACAACGATGTCTTCAACTTCAACCCAATTTTACTCTTTGCATCCTATTACAGAGTCAACTCTTAAAGAGAGATAGTGCAACATCTCCGATACCTAATTGTTCCTGACAATTTTATTTTTCTATACCTATTACGGTTTGGTAGAAATAAATACATAAAACTTCGTAAAAGTGTAAAAATGTAACATTATAGTTTTATCGAGCAAATTGGACCCTTCACACTGTAAAAAAAATTTACCCAAATGGACCTGTCAACTATATTCAAAAGTTGGCGCAATTCATGTAGATTTCAAAATGGTATAATACTTTGTACTTTTATTTAAACTTTTTGTGGTATAATTTTTTCGGCAGAGGGAAGATTTTGTTCATATTACTCAATTAGATATTTTTTTTTAAACGATCCGATCGTCCGTTCGATTAATGTTAAGAATATAATTCGTTTTGCCGATTTTGCTGGAAACGCTGGATTTCGCCGAAATGCTGGTTTGGCCGATTTTAGACCTAATTTCCATAGAAAATACTATACGTAATAACTGTACGTGGTAGACAAGACTTTTATATCGAAGACAAAGTTTTGGATCAGGTTCGAAATGATCCGCGAACTTCTGTTCATAACGTTGCATTATTAACAGGAATACCTTAGACAACTGTACATAGGTTGCTCTAACGCACCAATAAGTGCAGGTTCTCTTGCCACGGGATTATACCAGTTTTCAACCCAAATTTTCTAAATAATGTTTTATGGACAGATGAAAGCACTTTCAAGAAAGGTAGATTTATGATCTTGCACAACATCCATAGTTTGAGTATGGCGAAAGGTCTCACTATCAATTCAAAGTAAATCTGTGAACCGGTATTATTTAACGGGCGCATAATCGGACCTTTCAAATTTCCAGAAGCACTAAATGGGCAGGTCAACCTGGAATTTTTAAGAAGAGACCTGCCCATTTTATTAGAAGACATACCACTACCAACTTTATGAGATATGTTGGTGGTGTGGTTACAGAATAAATGGGACCTATTTTATGGCCAGCACGGTCACCGGACTTTAATCCATTAGATTTTTTTATTGGAGATATCTAAAAGAAAAGAAACCAGTCCCAATATTGCAGAGCTTCGACAAAAAATAATCGAATTTTCTCAACAAGCAAATAACAGAAGATTGGAGCGGCCTATAACACGTTCTTTCATAAGAAAAATGATTAAATAGTTCTTGTACTGGCTGAATAAATAATCAAACAAATCAGTTGCTATTTGTAATATAATCAGTGATGTACGCGTAATACTATGTATAGTTAATAAGTATACGGGTGCTGACAGAATAACAGCGTTGTAGATTTTCTGCAACACATGCTGAGTCAGAACCCTTTCATTGTTCTTCTTACAATATTTGTTTAGGCATAATTGTAACAATTTGCAACTTACAACGGCGCGTGTCTCGAGCGGGGAACCGGTTTGAGGGCGGAGCCGGGGGGACAGGGTGTGCGGCCGGCAGCCGCGCCTACGGGTCTAGAACTATCTTGGTGAGCGAGCCGTGTCGTTCAGAGGTCGCGAGTTTTGATAACAATTGCCGCGTCGAACACGGCGGCCTCCATGTTGTTGTATTTGGTCGTTAATATACGTGACAACGAGGCTTTTTGCGTTTGATTGACTATTACTATTGATTGCTATTAATTTGTGTCAACGAGTGGCTTGTGTAGTTAATTAAAGTTAAACTAAATTAGTTAAGGTGTACGAAGGAATTTTGCTTTGTCGTGTGGAACGTTGAACTTTGTGATCCGGGTGTAGATCGTGCGCGATTATAGTTCGTGCTAAGTGACGCTGAACTTGAGTTCCGATAGCGGTGAGCGTCTAGTTGAGCGGTCAACACACGTGGTGCTGCTATCTGATTGTATCGGTGACGTCAGGTTACAGGACACACCTTCCTACACTACACACACACTACCATTTACTTGCCCCTGACGCCACCTTGTGGTATACCCTACACTTCTGGAATTTGGTAAGTTTTGTGTTTGCGTATCTAGCCGTTATAATTTAATTATCCATAGGCCATTTTGGGCCGGACCCTCTAGTTACTCGTCGAATTATAATCATAATAATAATCTTTATTGCATCTTTAAGATAAAGTACACTCGATAACAACAGTATAACAAAATTAAGCTTACAGTTAAGTACTTCTACAATTAATATGAAGCTACTGACATCTAAACTAGGCAGAGCCTGTATCTTAAATGTCAGGGTCTTCTCCCAAAACATAGTACAAGGATTTAAGTACAGAGCAGTTACGCAATAATTTTAACTGATAAAGATAACAGTTTACTATCAAGTTTACAAAATATATATATATTATACAAGTATGAAATGCACAAGTAAAAATATACACGTGTGTGCGTGCGTGCGAGTGTGTGTGTGTGTGTGTGTGTGTGTGTGTGTGTGTGTGTGTGTGTGTGAGTTGAGTGGTTATGAGATAATGATTTTGAGATAAATTATAATAATTTGTGTATGTTTATTGTATATGTGTGGTGCCTATTTTGTGACGAGATTTTCCGTATCTTCGTATGTTAGAGATTTTAATCAAATTGATATTTTAGATTTTAATTCATGTTTGTTGATTTTGTATATATTTAACGACTTATTAATCTTATTGTATAAACGACAACTGATTGAATTATAGTGACGTCCTGCGAAAGCTGTTCTACATAGAGGTACTGGACACACAGGGAAACTTATACGCTTAAGGGTATTAGAGTCTAGAGGAAGTTGAAAATGTTTTCGAAGCATTGTGCGAAGAACAAACAATTGCCTCACTGTTAGAACATTACACTCTTTGTAGAGGTCAACAGTAGGGTTCATCCTATGTTTGTTCATCATGTTCTTGAGCACTGCTCTTAGTGCCCTCTCGAGGTGTAGCATTGTTGTTTTATGGGTACCACCCCAAAATGGTATGCAGTACATTAAAATGGATTGGCACAGGCACGTGTAAACCATTTTCAAGGTATCCACATTTGCAGAGTGGCGAAGATTCTTAAATATATAAATTAACCTTCTGATCCCATTGCAAAGCGCGTTAACATGTTCATACCAACTAAGTTTTTCGTCAATATATGTAGATGCCTAGATATTTAGTTTGGGGCTTGGCAGAGAGTGAGACACAACACAAACTGCGTCTAGCTATGAACACTGATGGGCCTTGATAGAATTGACATTTTCAGAAATTGGAGCAGTCTTAGAAAGATCAAAGCGTATATGTTGTGTCTTTGCGATATTGAGGGTCAGTAAATTTGATGATAACCAAAGCATAACTTCTACTAGAGCCTTTTCTGCATAATGTTTGGCACGAATCCAGTCTACACCCCAAACTACTAAGGACGTATCGTCAGCATAGGTGAAGATCCGACAATTATCTAGCTTAATTCTACACAGATCATTGATGTAGATTAAAAAGAACGTGGGGCCCAGAATTCTGCCCTGGGGCACGCCAAACTCTATATGCTCCTCGTCGCTGTAGTTATCATCAATTTTTACGCATTGGGTCCTTCCAGTGAGATAATCTCTGAAAATACTAAGGGGCAGACCACGAATGCCGATACATTCCAATTTAGAAATCAGTATGGGGATAGACACGGTATCGAACGCTTTAGAGAGGTCAAGGAAAATGCCATAGCATTTTTGTTTCTCATCTAGCTTAGCAGTTATTGTCTGGGAAAGTTCATTACTTCCGTAGAAACACCAGGTCTAAAACCGAACTGGTTCTCGGCAATGATGTTGAATCTCTAAGAAAATCAGTCAAAGAATTATTAAGAATGCGTTCTAGAATTTTTGATAGAGAACTGAACACCGATATTGGTCTATAGTTGGGAACTTGGTGCCTATCCCCACATTTAAATATAGGATGGACTACAGCTTTCTTCATCAGGTCAGGGAATACCCCAGTTGAAATTGAGGTATTACAAATATGCGTTATAGGTGAGGTTAACGCTTTACATGATAATTTAATAACGTCAGATTGTATTCCGTCCCATCCAACGGTGCAATTATTCCTCAGAGAGTTAATGATATTTTCTACT